CCCCGCCTCACCTCTCAATCTCTAATCCTCAGTCTTCTAACTTATAAGGTCACATACGAAAACCGTCCCCTGCTTGGTTCGGTTGGTTAAGCATCGGCCATAGATATAGACTTTTTACAGACTTTATCTAACTACTGGGGTGCATCCACATGGCTCAAAATCCCTTGAGATGTAAATAACAATAAGACAGCAGCCATGTTGGTTGATCTAACAAAAGAAACTAATGAGGAATACTTTCAACCAACATGGCGGCTATGACGTAACTTGCACCTCAAGAAATGTTACAAATGTAAATATACAAAATAAAGAGTTATTCACAAGTGTAAATAATGTTTGAAAAGGCGTATGTGGCTGCCGAAGTACCACGTAGACCTTCACCAGGTAAAATGACGGTCCCGTCTCATTCAATGACGTCAAAGATGTTAGAGGGCCATAAGTTTGTTAGTGCTAAGCTACAACTTTCACGTGTCATCCTTTAATAATAACTACCATAATTATTATACTATGATTATATTATAATCTTGTTTTTGATACAGTGATGGTGTTGGTCGTAGTGGTACGTTGTGCACAATCCTGTCTCTACTCGACCGTGTCAAAACCGAACAAATGGTCGATGTCTTCCAGACTGTGAAAGCACTGAGAATATCGAGACCTGGAGCCGTGGAAACTGCGGTGGGTTTATCGTCATAACATTTTTTAACACTCAGTGTCTTAAAATAACTAGAGAAAGTGCTGTCTTTGTAAACACATCTAATAAGTGTTAGACTGTCAAGTTTGGCTCAGATGACCGCTTCAAATGGCGGTCTCGCCTATCCACACTGCACTTTCTCATTCCTAACCAATATCGGAGGGACGTAAAAAAAACACTGAGGGCGTAAAGAACCCCTAGCAGTGACCAACCTCGTTGCCTACACTTCATATTAACCACCTCTTATTCATAACTCATTATAAAAAGCCTTTGCACATATCCGTAAGGGATAAGAACGTCTATACATAAAATTATAAACTTTCCTGACCTTACCCTCAGATCCCCTGGATGATGGCAAAATTTATTGGTTTTCAATATCGTGACATTTCAAGGAATTTTTTTCTTTTTTCCTCTTCTTTATAGACACAATACCAGTTCTGTTTTCAGGTGGTGATGGATTACGTGGAATCCTTCAGCGAGTATTCAAACTTCGATGGCTAAAATAAGTGCTTGAAGACCTCCTAAACTGGACGCTAAGATAAGACATTATTCAGCCAGACACATGTCATTCCCTAGAGTATAATTTCTTTGCAAACGGTTGCGCATGATAACATACATGTATATCTACGGATAGAAAGTTGAGATGACTCTAAAAGCGGGCGTAGAAGACTAAAATCGATCGAGGCTAAGACTAAACAAATGCGAACTTGAAATGAGAGTATTGGACACCGACTTATTCTAACACCTAATTTCAATAACTTATATGAGTTTAACTTAGTGAAAATAGTCTATCCATAATCTCTCGTTAGAAACGCAGGATCGTGTTCACCTCACTACTGTAGCATCCTCGGATCTTTTTTTTTATAACAATATATTTGTAGGCTAACCAAACTTCGTTAGAGTAATTTTATTTCAACCCGTGAAATAGCTGAATATCATCTCGCACAACAGAGACTAAGACTGAACAAAGAGAATAAACTGGATTATTGATTATCTGAAATAATTGGACAGCAAGACGTAAACAAAGCTCCGCGGCAGCTACTGCTGTCTTTTTCAGGTCACCTGGTCACATTAAGATAATAACACCAACACGCAAAGTCTAAAACACTCTCCTAACCAAGACACATAGCTCACGCAAATATAAATATTAGCAAAAAGAAAACTCTCAAACACTAAAAAAGAAAAATATACAATGACATGTCACAAAATATGGTCATGTTATATGTTTTAGAACGCGGTTTTTCTTGTTGTTAGGCTTAGCCAAGGTTGGATTAAATCCAGCATGGATCTTAAAAGCACCAGATTAGTCCAGCAGAATCGTAGGGATTTGCCGTAAATCTACAGTTAATAATTTACTACTAACAAAATACATTATATACTTTAAAATCGTTTTCTGGCATTCACAGTCGTAGCGTCTCAACAACATATAGTATTAATCATAAGCTGGTTCATTAATATAACCATTAATAATAATAATAATAATGATGATAATAATAATAATAATAATAATAATATGTGTGTGTGTGTGTATATATAGTTTTTCATAGACTGTGAGTCACGTGGAAAAAGTTTAGTTTGGTACTAATAATACATTGTACATAACTTCTGATTAAGAAAGAAAATTTTTCAAAGACAATTATAAACGGTAAAGATTGGACACTTCTAGGAGCAGCAAAAAATAAAAGCGATGCTATTTTGGGGTTCAGTGAAAGGCACTTGCATGCTCATAAAGTGGCGGGAAAAAACCAGACGCGTTTGCCAAGTGAACCCGTTAATATTGATAAGGAAATTTGTAAAAATTATACTCTCTGTTTTTCCTTATCATAACTATGTTGAATTTTGGCTATCTTGCTAAACCATGTAGACATAATACCCGTTAGACTTTATCATTTTATCGATAGGTTCATAAATACTTTTACAAATTTACTACCTAATAAAGTGTTGACAAATGCTCATGATAACTTGGATACGGCTTATATTTTTGAAACTGGCCAAGCAGTTTTTATTTCTAAAAACTTTTTTATGCAGAAAAATAAAAAATGTTTGTAATACATGAGCTTTTTCAAATGATATTTAGAAAAACGAAGATGTAGACATCGTCGATTTAAACAATGACACAAACAAAACACTTATATCCGTTACTCATTATTTGTATATTCCAGCAAAAAACCACCAATTACACAACGTACTAGCACTATACAATTATTCATAACTGGTGAAGATGACCTTGGTTYTTCATGACAAGATTTGTTGTTTCTTTTAATAGAGTTTGTTGATAAATAAAAGTGTTTCTATCGTATATTCAATAAAAAACAACTTCTAATTCAAACCGTTACATCAACAAAACCTCGACTGATCGGCGAAAATAATGAGATAGATGAGACTTGTTTTCTCAATCTGAAATCTTTCATCTCGCAGAGGGATTCGTTATTCAATTATTACGGTTTGGTTCCTGTATGTCTGAAATTCTTTTCTTTTTTTCTTTTTTTTTTTTTAGCTCTCTCGTAACAAAAACACAGCTAAAATGTTGTTTGAGAAGTTGATTTTGTAAGCTTTATGTAGGTTTAATTCAGGATTCTTTGTTTCATTTTGTACTTATTAAATTGAGTAGAATGTAAATTGCATTGAAGAAAGGTTCGACATTTAGATTTGCTATGGACCGAGGTAATTAGAGGTGCCAAGATACATATTTCGACAAATATGTGTTAAATTTGTTTTAGATTAGATAAGAAGTAATCAACGATATAAAGTTTAGTATCTGTATTACAATACATTGTGCAACAACAGCGAGCGACGGACGAATCTCATTTGAAGAAGTAGAAAAAATGTGATGTGGTTTACAACCAGTTACCAAAAAACAAAATATTTAAACGATATCAAAACACTAAAGGAACGACGTTGAGCGGCATAGAAAAGCTATTTCAGAAATAGCGGTCAGTCAATTTGTTTTTAAGAATTTTGAATAATGCCATTTCTAGAAAATAAAATACAAAAGAAAAAAGAAAAAAAAAATTTAAATTAAGTTTCCAATATTAGTGATATATTTTACTGGAATTTGTAATGACCTAAATTTTGGTTATTTTCACGTTTGTTTTGTTTGTTGTCTCATCTAAAATATATTTTACTCCTTAACTAACGAGAAATATTTCGCTTATAGTCCTCAATTTTCACCTTATAAATGATTCATCGTTTTTCAATGAAGCTCATCCGACCGCAAGAACAAAAAACGAAGGGTGGCCGTGGGCTTCTACTGCCCGATCGATGTCTTTTTGAGGACGAAACACATGGAATACCACGCTCAATCAACATATTTATTTCTTGTTGACACTTAAGTTATGTACTGAAATATTACACTGTATCAAAAGAATTGCTTTGTGAAGATATCCTGGACAGCTGTTTTTTGGTTGGCGATCCACTTGCAGAATTTGAGCGGAGTTCTTACTCGAAGATTATCAATTGTGTTGCAAGATTTAGTTCATACTTTTTATTGAAGTCATGAAAGGATTCTTCATCTATGTAGTAATCTTGTTGGCCTTCTGCTATAACTCTGTGTCAACAGAAGGTAAGCCTTTATTTTAGCGCGGGGAATATTTGACGAAAACTTTATTGTTATATATGGCTGAACTTTATATATGTTACTAACAATCTATTTTTAACTGTCAATGACTTCGATCATTTTAACTGTTTCAAAAGCTCCATCAATTTAAAGAACTTCTACCGTGGCTCTTAAATTATTGAGGCAAACGGCGCCGTCAGTTATCAAAATTCTCGTATGTGCTTCAGTTATAATTGAATAAAAATAATTGAGAAAACGTACAGTATAATTTGGTAGAAACAGCTTTGCTATGTTGCTTTGCTAAGGTATTTTTATTCCTCTTTTCCTGATGATGGTAAGATTTTTCCTACACTTTTTTTCGAGCTTTTTTATCCTCGAGATTATTTTCCAGCCTTTTTTCGAGCTTAGTTTTTAATTTTTGATAGCATTGAAAGAGAATTTTTGGATTTCTTAATATTGAGAAAATCACTTATGGTTTTTCTCCACAGAGGTTACTCACTTCAACCATCTCGAGAGTCTCCAAAACGATCTCTTTTCCAACTACAGTAAGCATATAATTCCACAGAAAAAAAAGGATATTCCTATAAAAATCAAGTTCGATATAGCTTTAAATCAAATTATTGACTTGGTAAGTACTTTTGGAATTCTTTTTCCTTTAGTGCAATTATGTTCCCAAGGTATATACAGTCGTATTCTCGCGTTAGGAGAAACCCCTTGTGGGCGGATCATAAAATTCATCGATATTTATAATAATTATACGCCAACTGCATTTGAGTAAGATAAGCTAAGGCTTATCATTGTAGCGCATGGCTAGAAATTATGCTATAATTAGAGACGCTATATTTGGTTATCTTATTTTGCTTTGCGGTGAACAAATGCTAGTTTTCACATTTTTCATTTTGCTTGGGAATTTAAATGTCGACGGAAACTCCGCCGTTGTTCAACACGTATATAATGGCTATATGATAATGTTATATTTAAATGAAGGAAAACCCTTTGTGTCCCCTTTGAATAGAAAATAAAATATGTCAGTCGACGTCTTAGACAGCTTTCCAGTTTGTATACATTGAATAATTTATATGTTTAGATTGAGAAAAATGTTGTCAACTCAGTCATAGCCGAAAGTAACGTTTGAAAACCGTTTTTACTATCTTTATCTTACTTTTACTTCCACTTTTTTGTTTATGACAAGCTTAGTTGCCAAAAGGAGATGACTGTTTTACGAGTTCGACTGGGAAACTTCTTTCAACTGAAATCCTTCAGTGTTTTGAAAAGCTTTGCTCAGCGTGGACGCTGTTGCCTCTCAGTTTTTGAAACACATTATATCTTCATTAATTTTGATTTTCTTCCCGCGTTAAGACAAGATAACTAAAAGTTTGTCAGCAAATGAATTCTTAGTGAAAAATTGATGCTAAACTCGACAAATAATGAATATTGTTCCCATAAAACTCTTCTTGAGTCTGGCTTGGTTTTGCCGACAGCCCATTCAAATGTCATAGACATACAGTGTCATGTCGCATCAATAACTCGCTTTAAAATTTCCTCGCCCTAGGGTGCTTTCTTGACAAAAAATGTGGTAAATAAATCGGCATTCTACAAAGGTTTTATATCCTTGAAATGCTGTTTTTCCCGCGTCTTAACTATTTTTTTAGATATCACAAACTTCATTAACTTGTGCATTTATAAAGTTTTCCCATTTTTCTTAAGTCAATATATTGTTTTTCTTTTCTTGGATGTAGTATTTTGAACTGGAAATTAATATAATGAACGAGGAAAACTTAATTTTTCGTTGCCCGCTGAGAACGGCTGCCAAAGGTTTTCGTATTCTCGTAAAAATACAAAATTATTTCTTTTATGAAAATTCCGCCCAATATACACTGGCTCACTGTAGACTTTTCTCACATTTTCTTTTTTAATTATTGTCTTCTAAGCTTGGCGTACTCAATTGTTTTCGTTTTCTTTGTCTGTTTAATAACCGATCCCTCGTTGTTTAAAGCTCTTTCTTTGGCATTTTCCTGACTTTGTGAATTGCTACATTCGCGACAAATTAATAAATATTTCATCATCGTTCAGTTCATATTTAATGCTGGGAAAACAACTTGGTTTTTAAATTCAAAAATCTTCCATGTAACAGACGTAAGCATAAATAATAGTTCTTCTGCAAATACTTTTATCCTGAAGTTTTCTTAAGGCAACAATTCTTTGCCCTCGTGTATATGTCAAGCAATTATTGGCCGGCTTATATGAACCAATGACATTACAATTGGATTGAATACAAAAACTAATAAGTGAGTGGATCCAATAGTATTTTCTTCGAAAACTTAAAAGGAATTGACTTCGATTCTTAGATAAGCTTTCGTAATCAAATCAACTTATCTTTTTTCTCTTAATATGTACGAAATTTAGCACTTTCTATAATTCGTGGTTTGTACTAACATTTTCACAAAATTCAGTATGTTGTATTTAAAATGTTATACCATTATTTATGCAAGAAAATAATTATATACGGCAATTGAAACTGGCAAAATGAGTGGCGATTGTGCTTTATACGTCTTGCTGAGAGTTATCCTAAATTCAATCTGAGCCAACAAAGGAAAAATGATTAAAACAGATAACAAATCTAAATTTTATTCTGATTTTATTATCACTCTAAGCAATAAATAAAAGCGAAATTTCCAAAAATAATGCCTTTTCTAGTATTGGAAAACAGGGAGGCTTTGGCATCGTAGAACGATGCAAATTGCTTTACTTTTTGTCGCTGGCTGAATTTATTTTTTCTCCAGCGCTGCCAGTAGACAATTTTAAGATTTTTTTTGCCAGAGAATTGCATTGTAATATTATTGCCACAGGCAGCCCAATCTCGTTTTTTTGTCCGATGTACTATATCATATAGATATAAATATATAGTATATAGTATAAATTATTCAGTATTAGTATAAATACACAAAGGTGATTATTGAAAATCGCGCGCGCTGATTGGTCGAGAAACTCGGATTATCACACGATAATCACCTCCAGCGATAATCCAAAATGGCGGCCAGCAGCTTTGTTGCCGCTACCGGAAAACTGTGTCTTTTATCTTCTTTTTTTGAAAGAATCCCCTGTGTATTTAGTACTAAAACAATTATTCACCTCAGGCCCAGTGAATATCGGGAATAATAAACTCAACTTCGTTTCGGTTATTATTCCCCGATATTCACTTCGTCTTCGGCTAATAATTGTTAATTACTTTTTTTCTTTTTCGTGCAGGACGAAAGACTTCAGACAATATCAACGATAGTGTGGGTGAGATTGGTAAGGGTATAATATCAACGATTTTATTTAAAAATAAACTTAGATTACTATAAGCAAACGAGCCAAACGAGCCAAACGAGCCAAACGAGCCAAACGAGCCAAACGAGCCAAACGAACACTGACTATTATAAGCTGTATACAGATGTCATAAATGAAGGAAACTTGATGGATAATTTAATTTGTTTCAGTACTGGTCAGATTTTCGACTCCAGTGGAATAGCACCAAATATGGAGGTATTAAATCATTTGTGACGTCATCAAGGAAACTATGGTTACCAGATATTACCTTATATAACAAGTAAGCTAGCTTGCAAATTGGGCGTAATGTTTTTCCATTTCAGACCACATGCCATTCTAATGAAAAATAAGAAGAGTTGTATCCATATTCAATGATCTTCTTATTGGCAACCGTTAAGCAAAGAAATTATATTGTAGGGAATGACATGGGTCGGAAAAGGAAAAAAGATACTCCCAAAATAAGCACGAACGGCTGTTGCGTTTAAAATTCAGTCAATGGTCCCATTCACAGTTCACGGCGCCATCTTGAAAGGTAGCTGTACCTTTGCATCGAAGCGAGACGAACGGTGAGCTTGCAATGATAGAGACCTTTTTTAACACCTTGGACAACTATTCACATGTCTCTATCATTGCAAGCTCACCGTTCGTCTCGCTTCCATGCAAAGGCACGGCTACCTTTCAAGATGGCGCAGGGAACTGTGAAGGGGACTATTTGTACTAGAATCCAAGTAAATCCTAATCAATTGATTATGACGTCATTTTGATTTCAGTGCTAATGATAATTATGACAAAGACAAGGAAGAATATTATGGTCTAACAGTAAATGACGATGGTAAAATCGGCTGGTTCTACCCCACCATCTTCAAGAGCTCTTGTACCATAGACGTTACATACTTCCCTTTCGACGATCAGGTGAGTTAACAGCAACACCCGACAATCGACACCCGACACCCGGTTGGATCAATTGGTAATTGATCATTACTATAACTCATTTACTCAGACGTAGTCTCGTATCAGTATCTAAACACTTACAAATATCAACGGTAAAGTAAAGAATGCACAACTTCCACAATACAAACACTTTGAAATTCCACGGACCTTCACTGGAACACATGAATATTCTGCACAAAATAGAGGCTAATCCTGAGCAACAGAGAGCTCGAAACTGGATTTAATTGGCTGATTTTTTTCGCGCGTAATGTTATTGCTCTGACAGTGCCAGCCTTGGCGTGACCGTGTCCGCGCATAGTTTATGCCGTGTTTCTCGAGTATTTGATTTGGTGAAGAGTAAATTTTCAAAAAAATGTGATTGGTCTGGTGTATCTTTTGCCCTGTAACGACCGTGTTCATTTCCGTCAGCTTTTCACACTCATACGAAAATTTCTCTAACTTCTACAAATGGTTAGACTTTCAAGTGGCTCGGATGACCACTTTAAATGGCGGTCCCGTCTCTCCACACTCATCATAATTAACCAATATCGGAGGGACTAAAAGAACCACTAGTACCTAATGAACCCTGGCTGTGAAAACCCTCTCTACCTACACGTAATACTTTTAAATAGTTTTTCATATTGTTTGTTGACACACAAAGGTGTCCTATAGATAAATGCATTCAAATATATGCTTCCATTTTTTTCTTTTTAACACATTTTATTTCCATTCCAGAATTGTACCCTCAAGTTCGGTTCGTGGTCATATCATGGCCTTTGCCTAGACATCTACCACAGTGGTCCAGGAGATACCAAGTCATTCATTGACAATGGAGAGTTCGTCCTGGTCAATATGCCTGCAACGAAACATGTCACTAAATACCGTTGCTGCCCTGAACCATATCCTTACCTGACCTACGACATCATTATTCGTAGAAGAACCATGTATTACATACTTAACTTCTTGACGCCGTGCGTCTTGATGTCTGCGCTGACTATTCTAGGTTTCTTTCTTCCAGTGGAATCTGGCGAGAGAATGAACGTTGGAGTCACAGTTCTTCTTTCGTTGACTGTGATACTTCTTCTGCTGGCCGAAGAGCTTCCGGCAACTTCCGAAGTGGTCCCGTTGATATCTCGTTACTACACAATCACGATGGTCAACGTTTTCATATCGATCGTTTTTACGTGTGTCGTGCTGACGTTTCATCATCATGCCCCCACTCCACTTCCTGCATGGGTTCGTTTGGTTATTTGCACATGGTGTGCACGTGTGCTCCGGATCAAAAAGTCGGCCAAAAAGTCCCACAAACGCGAAAAAAGTCATAAAAGAAGCAATTACTCTCTTAGTGAGGCCGAAGACCATCTTTGTAATGAAGAAAACTGTGAAAACTCCCATGCAAACGATGTGGGGAATTCAATAAACGAAAATGATGTATGCAGAGTCAGTTTCCCTCTCAAAAGAACTTGTATTTCCTCAGAGGAAAGACGAGCTGCTCTGCGGAGAAGGATAGCGCAGAGCAGTTTGCCCACGAATGGGCTAGACGCACTCGTTTATCGAGCTAAACAAGACGAAGAGAAAGAACAATACAGAGAAGAATGGAGGTTTGCAGCTCGTGTGTTGAATCACTTTTTCATGTGGATTGTGTTGACACTTGTCGTGTTCAATTGTTTTGTCGTGATAATTATAGCACCTTCGGCTAATCTCGGAACTTAAAATATAAAAAGGTGAGTGAGGTGTAAAGATTACAAGGAGGACGCTACAATCACAGTTAAGAAAAATCGTCGTGTGCTAAGCACGGTCGTGCCTGGATTCTGGACATAACCATTATTACCTCAGCGACCTCGAAGACAACCGAAAACTTAAGAAAGTTTTTGACTGCATTTGCTCCATTCTCGAGAATCTCTTTGATTTGACACTGAGTTCATTCAGTACCAATAAAACGCCGAAAATTATCCACGGTGCAAAACTTCTGTCTCTATCCGCAGCAAATTGTTTTCAAGGATTTTGAAAATCAGTGTAAGACTGATGGAGTTCATAACTGGACGAAAGACGATAACCAAAGGACAAATAAACCCTTATAAAAAAAGGAGATGGAAAATTCTTCAACTCGAACTAAATTGCTAGCTGACAGCAGCAACTGTTAGAATCTTTAACATTACAAATTCAATCTAAGCTTTATTGAACTGAGCAGACTCATAACGAACGCGCTCTCATGTGAGATAGTTTCATGTGAAACTGTCTTAATGTGAAATAAAATATCAAATTTGTAGAAATAGATATGACTTACTATATTGAAAGCTAAAGAACAAAAGTAGAAAATAATGAAAATGCGCGTTCATGGAAGGGCCACAACAGACTACAGCATTAGAACAATCACAGCTATCGTACTACGAACTACTGGTCGTCCAATCAGAAGGCTCGTAATATGTATCAACGTACGGCACATGATTTTGCAACATTTGTTTTAAAGCGAAATCAAAGGCTTAATTTAACTAGAAAATAATAGTCAAGCCATGAATTGGAAATTCATTTGTCCCTTTTCTTCTTCGGTGAATACCGCTGAGATACATGTCAGCAGAATCATTTACACAGGCTTAGCCTCGTTTAAGGGCAAAACATTTTTTCAAAAAGTCAACTGTTATGTAAATATGGGCAAGTTGGACAATACATACCAATGTTTTGGAATCCACTGACTTCTAATGGTATTTGTGAATAGATGATTGACGAGGCAAAACTTATACAAATGAGTATCGGCTATCGAATGGGAACAGCCTGCTTTTTTAAAAGCTTTTTTATTCGCTGAAAGAGTCAGTGGTAATGGTGTTTCTTAGGGTCAAACTTTTGAAATGCGTCATTACTTTAAGTATGATTAATTTTCATACAACAGACCCCTTACAGCACGTCGAAATGCAGCTCAATTTGGAGGGTATGACGATAGGTTTCCAATTTACAGGAGATTCAAAATATTTTGTTTTGTCCTTCAAATTAAGCTGCTTTGACGTCACCTGCAAAGGGTCTACTCAGGCAATGAATGCTATCCCAAGTAGGTTGGAATACACACAGAAAAAGACATACCTAAAATAAAAGAATCTATTGAGAGCAGTAAAGATGTAAATGCACTACAGAAGCACTATTTTGCTTCTTTATGTCGCAATATGTATCCTTGCGTTGAGCGCAAGGTTTTCCCATATCAGACCACGCGTCATTCCCTGGAGTATCATTTCTTTCTTGTTTAACCGTTGTGCATGCGATAAAATATAAATATAGGAACAACTCAATATCACAATATCATTCTCGATGGAATGACGTGGTCTAAAATGGAAAACACTACATCGAAGTTTTCAAAGAGGGCAATTATTATAGTTAATCCATTATATTTTTCATAGAATTTTCCGTTATAAAATTAAGTTCGAAGCTGTTCAATACTTCTTCATTACTTTTTTGTATGTCTTCATACATGACTGACGTCATAATTGCCAGATAAACTGAAAAATCATTTCTGGTAAAAATCCGGAGAAATAAAAAAAAAAGTCATTGTATTGAAGCAGGAAATTAAACATAAGTAAATAAAGTTTTAATAGGACGGTTGCATGATTGCGTCATTGACCTCTACCAGACTCCTTGCAAACTTTTTGTTGTTCACTGTTAGTTAATTATCACTAATTGTCTAACCATTCTCATGAGGGAATTCAGATTTATATAAGAAAGAAGCATCTTGGTAGTGGGAGTCAAATGATGACATTATGCAAACGTCCTAATACCCGCGCTTTCATAAGTTCAAATGAGAACTTATAACAAATTGTGGTAGTAAATATGGATATATTACCAAAGCGCCCCTCCAACTACTTAGTCACGCAATCCTTTATGGGCATCATTAGAATGAAATCCTCATCATAATAGACCTCTTTGGCTTGGGGTAATGTTTTCCCATTTCAGACCACGTGTCATTCCATTGAGAATAAGCTTCTTTGTTTGAGCTGTATCCACATTCATACAAATACAAATGGTACTCTATTATTCCGATCGGAAAGTTCCTGAAAACTCGCGATTTGGATAATATACTGTTCCCGCTCTTTTCTTTTTTTTCCGCGTTAGACGCATGAATATTCAAATTAGTTCCATACCAAATCGAGGCTAACCCTGTAGAACAGAGGATTTGAAAATGGAGTAGTATTGTAGCTTATATATTATAGGCTTTGCACCATCACGTGATGGCAGCCATGACAGGAGGCAGGAGCAATCGTATCTGGTCTAATGTGATTTACATGAGAAAGAATTCAGTTTCCCAGGGGAAAACGACTCTATTGTTGTGCCTACCGTTATGGCTGCCATCACGTGATAGTGCAAAGCCTCTATGTTGGCTGTATTTTTTTTGCTCGAATGCGAGGTTAATGAGAGAAAACTGTCTATTCTTGGGGTGTATCATCGGTAACGTTATAGACGCCTTTTTGGTTGACAGCAACAAAGCATTCCTCATTAGCTTCTCTTGTTAAATCAAACAACATGGCGGCTGTTTCAATTCATTGTTATCTATATTTCGGGGTTTTGGGTCATGTGGTTGCATTTCAAGGTTGTCGTTCAAGACGAAGTTCTTATGCACGAAAACCATTCACCAGCCAACGTGATGATGTTCTTCATTCACGAGCAACTTGTTTGTTCCACTCAGTATTTTGATTGGATGGAAATTATTCTATGCTAACGTGATTGGTTGAAAGGATACCGCAATTAAGGTTAGTAACGGATTGCTAGAATATTTTATTCTATTATTTTATTCTGATTTTTTTTTTGTTCTGAAATTGCCAAAATTTCTGTATGAATATCTTACTCTTTTGAGCAATAACGTTATCTCAGATATTCAAAATTTTGACATACCTCAAGTCATAAGGATAAAAATATCCCCAAAAAAATCCATTTTCCTCAGTTCAATTATTCATAACACCGTTCCTAGTAATTGGTCTTAATCGAGAATTATCTAAACATCGCGCAAGTGGTACTACTTTTGCTAAATTCCAATTATTAAGACAGTGATATACCGTATTCATGTCTCCATGGGGGAATATTTAGTCCAACTCGTTTTCTTTTACCTTGAATTATTTGACTAATTATCGTAATGAGGACAATAATGCATGGTATCTTATCTGTACCATAGTTGTTCATTATTAATTCTTAGTTTTTAATGGATCGTAGTTTTGAATGATATCGTTGTTTACAAAGGCAAAAAAGGGGCCCTGTCCTAATTTGAGGTCACACATGCTGATTAAGAAGCCACTTCAAAAAATAAAATAAAACAAAACAAAATATGAAAAATATAAGTACAGACTAAGTTTTTTTTTTTTTTCAAATGTTTTCCCGTTTACTCTCAGCTGCAAAGCCAATGCCAACTCATGCAATGCAAAAGAAAAAAAATTAAAAAATCTTAGTCAGATTGTAGAGAAGTCTCCCCAGTGAAAATCATCTCTTATCTTCGCTAACTCCCCATCCTTCTTAATTTTCATAAGCAAGTTAATGAATTAGCCAATGAAAAACCCCTAGCTTACCACGCAAGAAGCATTAAAAAGAAATGACCAGTTTTAAAAACAAAAAACCGAACAATGCATATTTTAGCATTATTAGGATAAAACACAGTCTACAAACAATGAAATAAGCCCTAATTTTGATTCTTGATTTTTGGGTAACGGCTATTCCAAAAACCTCGTAGAGGCTTTGTTATTATTAACTTCAACGGTTTTTGGCGGGAAAACCGATAATTCTTTAAACTATTCAGCTAATAATATAACTCAATTCTAAGGCCAGAAACACCTGCTGAATATTAACAGCATTTCATAGACAAGCTCCTTTGAAAGACGGTTTTTGTGGAAGAAACTAGAAGTTTAAATCACACTTATTGAAGCAATTTTAGCGTAAAATTGTATTATAATTAGTCATGGCTTCGAGTTTGGATATTTGGAGTGTTTCTTTAGAGATATATTCGTGTATCGGTTGAGAAAATCTTTAGTATAATCTTCATTTAAACGTCTCTAGCCGTTTCGTCTCCGCGATGAAATAACAAGAAACACCGCCAAGTTCAGACGATGAATTGCCTCTCAGTACATTGGATTATTCTCTTTTGCTTCTCTATCTCGTTTTGGGGGATCTTTGGTGAAGGTAGGTTTATAAACTATGTGGCAACCATATAGCGTTTTCCGTTACTTTGGGATATTTTTTTTACGTTAAAAAACTACAACCACATTCCAAATTCATATTTTCGAAATTCGAAATTATACCAATGTTTACAAAACAGTGCTAAAGAAAAAGCTTTAAAAAATAAGCACTTATGTATTAACGTAAATTCTTTTTTTCACAATCACTGATTGCTTGATATCTACCCTCTGATTTTGGAGCAGAAGTTATGTTTGCTATGTTATTACGTTAGCTTTAAAAAAACTCTTTTCCACAAGAGGGGTTTTAACAGAAATAATTTATAGTCAAAAACATCGATATTTGTCGCTGAATTTCATTTAATTATTCAGAATATATTTACTTTACTTATGGCTCTACATTTTATTATCAAATAAAAGTGAGAAGAAGAAGAAAAATCAGCATTTTCTCATTTATCATAAAATAGGATAATAAAACATTATTTTTCTTTTCTTTAAAGAAGAAAGATTTAATTGAATGTTTTAAGCTAGAGCTGAGCCCTTTTTTTTATACCGAATAACACAAGGCTGTGATAAAGTTTTTCAGTGTTTGAGCTAGAATCTAAAATTAGGTAATTTTCTAAAACAATATCGCTTTAAAAGTGATTTTTGTTTGAATATTTTGTAGCTTTTAACAATTATTTGTTTATATAAAAGATATAATATAAACTTTATGTTGTACAAATTTGTTAAGCCATTTTAATCCTCGTACGAAAAGTCAAGCCGAGTTTCGGAGAGAGATTTTGCTTAGCGATAGTGATATTCATAACATTAATCTAGCTCTACAACTAGTAATATATAATACCACCTCTAGACTGAACAAAAGAATGATGGAAAAATATTCAAATTACAACTGGGCGAATTGAAAAATGATCTTGACAATTTACTATCTTTTTAGACCCAAGAATACTAATATAAGCATTTGAGATTCAAAGTCACAGCGTTCTTCTCCCTATAGTGTCTACCAAATATAAAAACTTTGCTTTCAAACATTTAACAGCAGGTTGTTGGTAGCGAATACGGTTATATTTTGACACAACCATAACCTCAAATCTTGTGGACAACGTACCGTAAATGGTGATAAATATCTGTGAAATTTGAAGTTCACTAAACGTTAACCTTGGGAGTCTTATCGAACGGTTATCATGGAGCTAAATTATTTTAGTTATCGGAATAACTACAGGCTTTTTAAACTCATTGAAATAATAATTGCCATCAATTTGTAGTACTAGATAAGCTTAAAAATAATCCATCGATCTTCTACTAGCTTAAAAGTTTATAAATTCTTAACAAAAAAAGTAAAAACTTTAAAAGCCTTCGAATATATAAAATATCAAGAAAAATTTTTTTTTAATTTTCTGTGTTCCAGATTTCTGTCTTATACTTTTTAAAAACTATTATTATTATTGTTATTATCATTATTTTCCCAATATTTTGATAAGCAAACAATTAAAACAACAGGTCCGCAAACAGCGATTTCAAATGCTTCCCACATATATATATATATATATATAACGGGTTTTTCATAACTTATTTTTATTGACTAAGGTCATCAGAGACTTTAATTTATTCAAAAATGGCGAGTAACTTCTGGCGAAAACAAAACTGCAAATTCATTTTTTTGGCCGCCGTTAAAGGTGACAGATGAACGAGAAGAAGAACATTCAAAAAGAAGAATAAAGAAGGTTGAACAACAACAAAAAAAGTTTTTGCGACCGCTTAGAATTCTAATAAAATAAAAGCTAAACGCTTGCCACCAAGTTTATGAAAACAAAATGGTTTCATTAAAATTAAGCAACTTGGCGGAAAACAACAGAAGGCTTGTTATCATTTTTCTTTGGGCAGAGAATTGCTAAGGAAACTGCGAAATATCGAGACCTGACCGCCCGTGTACATGTTAGGCTGGACAATACAACAATACTAAGAAATAATAATTAATCCGAGTGGCAAGGGAGGCGTAGCAATAAATAGTTGGCCTTTATTAATTTCCCCACAGTGAGTCTTAAGGTACTGACACACGGTGCAACATTGCATGCAACATTGCACGAAACCGGACTGTTGCAGCGTGCGTCTACCCCAAACTTGTTGCACGCAACGTTGCATGCAACAAATCTGAAGTTGAATCGCGATCTACTCTTGCAACATTGCGCGCAACAAATTTCATCATGTGAACATAGCTGCAACATTACCTGTAACATTTTGAAACTTCCAGCCAATCAGCTTGCACCAAATTTATGACTGCTGACCAAATGTCTTAACATAGCAGGCTGACACAAGCGATGGGGCATGATTTTGTTGTTACAATGTGTGTCCCCCCGGTTCAAATTTGTTGCTTGCAATGTTGCGTGCAATGTTGCACCGTGTGTCATCACCTTTACAGGATGCGTCGCTGGTTCCAATCCTGCGGTCGCCACATGTGAAAAGAGTTTGTTTGATGTGTTGTTCTCTCCTTGCCACGAGAGTTTATTTTCTGGTTGTCCAGTATTCCTCCATCCTCAAAAATCAACATGTGAGTTGAGAGTCGTGTGCTTAAACCATTACTAATGTAGTGGTCGTGAGTGTGCAGTATGTCCATACTCACACTTTAGCCTCTGGCTAGGAAGACTCGGCAACGATTCCCCCTATCATGACGTAAGATAAAAAGACTTTTTCAGGAAGGGCAGTTCAATTCATTTCTATGATTTGTCGACTGCGACACCATAAGCAACAAAGAGCTGCATTATTGTCTTCAGAAAAAAGGTGCGATACTTATTCAATCTTTGATATCACTTGGAATTCTCTCCACAGATATCATCAGTCAGTCTGAAATAGTGCAGAAGTTGGAGGACGTGCTGTTTGAGAGTTACAACCGTGATGTACTGCCGAAAGAAACCTTGGAACAGGGTGTTAAAGTTAAACTTGACTTGGCCTTAAATCAGATTATAGATGTGGTAAGAGTGTGTAATATTTTTCAATTGAAGAAAACGAAAGAAACAGCTTTAATAAAACTGTGCTGGATATTAATAAAAAATGAGTGCGCATGCTCGAAGCTCGAAGCAAATTTGTCGAAAATGTCTTTGTGCTATAGAGACTATGTACCACCACGTGATGGCAACCATGACAGGAGGCACTACTATAGTCTTTTTTCTCTAGAGAAGATACTTCTTTCTTTGACATGTAACAAACAGGACTTTCCTCAATTACTGGCAAATGCTAAATGAAGAAAATTATAAGAAAATTGTTACTTTAATTAACTGGTTTTTTGTTTCTCTTATGTACCCGGAATAAATAAACGTGATATTCAAAAGCTCTATAGGAAAGGATCGAATGATGTCCCGACCACATTAAGATTAATTCTGCGATGTTTTTCGTTACTTTATAGAATAAAAGAGCACAGACCATGAAGGCAGTTGTCTGGATTCGGCAGGTAATTATGGATAATTATAAACCTCGAAAAGCAGCTTCACATATCTAGTCACAGCTACCACTTACCTTACAAGTTACTTTAGAAACGAGTAAGGAACCAAGACCGTATCTATATATAGTTGTTTGCTTAGTTTACATAGTCAAAACTTGAATGTTTATCGATACCCTTAATTCAAAAATTGAACCCTGAAACAAACTCTTGGCTGCTAAGTCAAGGCACGGCTAACTCACAGATCAAACCCTGAAACAACCTCTGGGCTGATCTACGTCAGGGCACGGCTAACTCACAGATCAAACCCTGAAACAACCTCTGGGCTGATCTAAGTCAGGGCACGGCTAACCCACAGATTGAACCCTGAAACAACCTCCACGACTCTATTCTAAATACTCTTCATTCTCTAGTATTGGAAAGACTCTCGACTGCAGTGGAACGCTGCTGAATACCAGAATATCAGCACTATTGTAACCGAGGCATCGCGGATATGGTTACCAGATATTACTCTTTACAACAAGTAAGTATCCTCACCAGAGAATCCAGTTTACTTTCTGATTTCTAATGGCTGAGTTGCTAGGTGCTCTATGGTTTTGTTTGTGTCTGCGTTGCTAGGAGCTCTGCGTTTGATTGGCGGTGCGTTACTAGGAGCTCTGCGTTTGATTGAGGGTTTGTTGCTATAGGTGGTGGTCTGCGGTTGTTTTGTATTGTTTTGTGCTTGACCAAAATATCGAAACTTGACAATTATAATAATGAGTTCTTACATCTTAGCGCTCGAGATGACTACAAGATGGAGAAGGAAACTGGTCATAGTTTGTCTATATCATCAGACGGCGAGATTTCTCGCTTCTTCCCAACAATCTACAAGAGCTCGTGCAAGATGAACGTTAGACACTTTCCATTTGATGATCAGGTAAGACGACATTACGTGTGTCCTTGTCATGTGCAGTTACATTTAAATCAGACTTCTAAATACACACCTAATTCAAAAGAACGTATAGCCTGAAATCAGATGTCTGAGATCGAGTGAGATCGTAGGGGAGTGCGCGCTTTTTGGTTAAAAATCCCAAATCCAATTAGCCAGATAATCCGCCAGCGGAGGTCATCGCTCAAGCTTGGCATACTTAGAATATTAACTTGTTGCAAACTACTAGGTCAAATCACAAAAGAAAATCCACAGCTTATATCCCACAATTCATTTCGGTCCCAGATGTCTGATCTCCGCCGACGACAACGTTTTTTGAATTTAGTGTGTACGAACTTAATTAATTTAACTCAATCGTCCGTGCAGGATATCGCTGGCTTAAGAAATCGAAACACACCGACTACTTTGATGCACACTGGCACACATTTTACATTTTACTAGGGTTTGTCATGCGCAGTAAAGATGCGCAAAGCATAAATGATAGATCACCTTGAAAAAATATTTGCCATTGCATGACCTATTTCAACTTGAGAATGATTGTATGCAAACAAGCTAGCTATAGGAAAGCGGATTCCGCAAGAGTAATCAAACAGACGTACGTACCAAGACTCTAAACTAATCACGAAGCGAGATAAAAACAGCCAATCACATTGCTTGATACTGATGCCAACAGTGTCACGTGCTCTGTAGTGATAAAAAGGCGGGAAAATCACGTGTAAATTTTTATTTTATAGCTTTTTTTTTACTTAATAGAATGTTGTTTATTTCGCAGACCTGTATTCTAAAGTTCGGATCCTGGTCCTACGACATCTATGACGTCAACCTCACAAATGTCGGAGATGGTGACGTCAACTCCTTCATACTCAACGGTGAATGGATCCTACAGAGTATGCCTGCAAAGAGACACGAAACCAAATTCAGGTGCTGTCCGAATTCATATGTCTACGTGCTTTACTACATCCATATCCGTAGAAGATCCTTGTATTACCTTATTAACTGCTTCACGCCGTGTTTAATCATGATTGGTTTGACGTTACTTGGTTTTTATTTGCCGTCTGAGTCTGGTGAGCGAATGGGTGTTGGGATAACTGTGTTATTGTCCTTGAGTATCGTCCAGCTGATGTTATCAGATTCTTTGCCTCCGAACGAAGAAGTACCACTTATAGTCAGGTATTATGGATTGACAATGTTCAATGTGTTTCTGTCGTTGGTTTTCACGTGTATTGTGCTAAAGATTTATCATTCTGATGGAGAGCCGCTCTCGGGTTGGCTCAGGACGGTATTGTGTGAGTGGGGAGCTTGGCTCGTGAGGCATCAAGAAGAATGGAAACAACTGCAGGAGAAGAGACGACTATTAGAACTAAACAACGAGAAAATTATTCACGAAGAAAACTTGAGCAACGCAGTAGAATTAGCTTTACCTTCAAAATACAGCGAAGTAACTTGGACCCCTAATGGAGATGCTAACAGTGCAAGTACAACAGCAGAAAATATCTCGCACAAAATCCTTCCTGGAAAAGACATTCCTCACTCGTCTAAAAGGTTTGAAAAGTTTCTTTTTAACCAGCAAAACAATGGAAGAATTGAGGAACTTTTGAAGGATGAGTGGAGGTTTGCTTCCAAAGTCTTGAACATTCTATTCAAATGGACAATAGGTATGTCTGTTGTAGTCCATTCTGTGGTTGTGTTCGCGGACGCACCGTTGGATAATCTTTTTGATTGGCTTCCACAATAGCACAACCAAATTCAGTATAGGCCTTTGCCCTTGGCGTACGTATTTTTTGCATTTCAGACCACGTGTCAATATCTTTCTTCGTGTGAGTTGTGTCCATTTTCATGTGACTGTCTTATCATGTACATCCGTTAAACAAAGAAATGATACTCTAGGGAATGACCTGTGGTCTGAAATGAGAAAAAAATCCCACCCAGCTAAAGGAGTATTTTGCAGGCCCTTAGGTCATATCTTATTTTGAAGGCATACACCGTATAGTCAGTCCCCTATAATAGCGTTGTTGTACAAATAGCTTTGGGTATCAGAATTATATCTCGCGAGAGGTGGATATAGATTAAATATAACACAGATGAGGATGAATAGCTCTGACAGCAGAGCAGATTATATTGTTGCATAGGAATTCGCGTTAAACAGACTATAACCATGATTATATCAGATCAGGGTGGCTGAAAAAAAAGAAGAAAAAAAACAAGGGATAAAAATTAACCCAAATAATTCAGTTTAGAAAATTGTGTGGTTTGTAAGAATATATAAAGTTTACTGTCATGAGCAGAATATAAATCAAAATTGATAGAAAGTAGTGGCAATTAACTGGTGCAGCAGTTTGCAAACTGTGAAACATGTTTTATGACAAATGAAAGCATAATAGAAAAAATATATAACTAACTTACGACACAACCCACCGCGATCAACCTTCAAACCAACCCACCAACCCACCAACCCACCAACCCACCAACCCACCAACCC